ATAGTTTTTCCAGGACTATGAACCTGGCATATCAGACATTGCTAGTAGACTGCTTTTGCAATTTTGTAGAAGTCTCGCCACCAATGTTGATTCATAATTTGTTGGTGGAGGCAGGAGTAGCTCCCCCAGGATGTGAAGAGACGGAATGCTGTCCTGTCCGGAGGTCTGGACCTTCTCTCTTTGATTTAACTTTACCATGAATTACAACAGATGTCAAGGTACCTACCTCTTTTAGCTTAGAGACAATAAATAATAGTCAATTGTGGAGAAGACGATCATTAACCTTATGCTCTATAGAATGGAATGCTAATAAATATTCTTGTGCTCGCTTTGTATCTCCTTATCTCTCTGAGAATATTTGTAGAGCTATTTCTGTACTAATCCTGAAAAATATAAAAACGACACTTGTGAACAGTAAAGAGAGACTTGATTACACCGACTCAAGTCTCACGTCTCTTCCTTCACTGCGCCGACTCCGTCCCTCCCTCAGGAACCTGGACTCAGCTGGAGCAGGACTCCGGCATTGATTCATAATTTGAGTCACCTTAAATGCACTATGGTGGGTGAAGGAATGCAAAACTTAAAACATACAGTTTTCTAGGGAACAAGGAAAAACTAAGCAGCTGTCTTGGGTTTCCTATAGCACTGTTTGTTTGTTTATTTTACAGCCATTGTCTACCTATCTTAATTTTTCTGATTCAGCAGCGGAGTGTTGCCATGCTACAAGGACATCAGGATGGCAAATGTCTGGCAATGAGGGGTCATTTTTTTTGCAGAAGCAGAATGGGCTTCACGCATATGTGCCGCAATCTTTTAGATTCTGTTGCTGCTGCCTTTGCATGAAAGTCAGGTAGGGTATGTTCCTGATACTCAGATTTAGTCCTTTTAGTGTGAGTCTCAATTTTGATGACAGAGGCCCAATTCAGTCTCATGCGTTTCCTTTCTATGAATGTTATGAAGATGAAGCATCTTGGCAAAAGCATCAGAGTAACTATAAGTGACAAAAGAATTTTTTAAATGGTTTGTTATAATGCAATTGACAAAAAAATTTGGTCATTTCTGTGACATACAACATTTTAAGATAATAACGAGAATTATCACTGATAACATTATACCAGGACATATCAGGATTTTAGGAACTTCACATAATTTCTAGAAGACTTATATGCTAATATAAGCACAGCGTAAAGAAGGCAGACTTCATACAGCACAGAAAATTTTTTTGATACACCATAAAAATCTTTGTTTTCCTTTCATAATCTCTTATCAGGAGCAGACCAATAGTCTAAAAAAACTTTTTCTTTTTTAACAGAGAGAAAGCCAAATTTTACTTTTGTATCAACTTACTTCTGGTATTAAAATTCATTTATTTGATTAAGTTTATTCCAAACTTAGCCAGCCCTGACTGTACATAAAATTCCTTTCCCTTACTATTTCCAGTAGTTCTAATTCCATACATTAGGATTTTTAACCCTTAGAAACCTTTGATTTCTAGTGTAAACTAAGAAGTAAGCAATTATGAACTATTTTTTTCATTAGCATTCTGTGGATTGGCAGACATATACAGATCTGCATCTCTTGAGAGGGATATGTTCTGAGAAATGCGCCATTAGGCATTTTTTTTCACTGTGCAAATGTCATAGAACGTACTCACACAAACCTAGATGGGATAGCCTACCTTACACCTGGGCTATATGGTACTCATCTTATGGAACCACTGTCATATATGTGATCCGTTGTTGACCAAAACGTTGTAATGTGGCTCATGTCTGTAAATATTTTTTATAATTTCTAGAAATGTGCTCTTTCATGGAAATTTTCTTCGTGTGACACAAGACATGCTTACTAATAGATCCAGTTTTATCTTTAGTTTCTCTGCAATAGGAAGCTCAAAGTAGATAAACATATATTCAGTAATTAATATTCAATATTTGATCTCATTAGGGAATGACTGATATATTCAATACATTTCTATCATTTGATTTAACTTAGCAAAACTCTAAAAAGTTTCAAGTTGACAAAGAGATTTGGGAAACATATTTGAAAAGTTCACCTAAAAATCTTTTATTCTACTTACATTTATTTAATTTACTCACTCTTAACAATTATGTTTAGACTACTTATGAAAATTTCATCGTATCGAGTTATTTTTCTTGCTGACAAATTTGTAAGCCTAAGTAAAATAAAAGTCTTATGTTTAATGATGATAGCTGTAAAGACATGTCTCTTTTAATTAAACCAATGAACTTAAACTAGCTTTTATTTACTAAAGATTATTTTAGGCCACGTTAACTTGAAAGAACATTTGGGTTAATTTTTATATTCCTGAGAAATTTAGAATGCCCAATCCTTACAAGCACTTGACCTTCAACCCAATTAAATAGAGTGCTTTTACAAACTAATTTTGGCAATATCACCCAAAGGTAGAAAAACATCACACATCTACATAGACACACACAGAATCATACAAACACAAACGGAGACATTATAGTTACTAATATCTGCGGAGAGGACACTTAAGATTTTTCATTAGCCCAATTTCCAAATACTTCTCTCTCTCACATTTTTTTCCTTCTGATGAGAAACTTCTCCCTAATGTTTGCATTTCAAAGAATGGCTCTTAGTTCCTAGAGTAACTATTATTTAAATTTATCTTCTCTTTATGTGCCGGACAATTCTATTTCCAACTTCCTGATCTTTTACAACATAATATGGGAGGTCTGGGGATTGGCAAAAAGGATTGACACATCCACCCACTTATTGTTGGAATGTTTCTTTCTCTCTGGGTACACAGTTTCATTTTAACTTAGGAGAGGAAGGCTTGAAAAAGTTCCCATACAAAGAATTGGTGAGTGGTGAGTACTCAGGTGAAAAAGGAAGTGGGAGGAGGGCTGTAAGAGTCCTACCCACTGTCACATCCAGCCCACTGTCTGTTTTAGGTATTTTTTGTCACTTTCATTTTTCACTAGCCTCTTGTAAATAGTCTTTCAATGAAGCTATTTTGGAATCTTGAAGACTTTTGTAAGCATTTGTATAACAAAGTAGGCATTTCATTTTGCTCTCCCAATTTGGGATCCCTTGCTCGCAAGTGCATTTCCTTTTTGTTTTTTTAAAAGATTTTATTTTTCCTTTTTCTCCCAAAGGCCCTCCCGGTACATAGTTGTGTATTTTTAGTTGTGGGTCCTTCTAGTTGTTGCATGTGGGATGCCACTCAGCACGGCTTGATGAGCAGTGCCATGTCCGCGCCCAGGATTCAAACTGGTGAAACCCTGGGCTGCCAAAGCAGAGCGCGAGAACTTAACCCCTCGGCCAAGGGGCCGGCCCCGCGGATGCATTTCTTAAATGAGTAATTTCACCTAATTGGAACATTCCCCATAATGGCCATTATAATTCTAGGTTGTTTTTAGTAAAATGTTGCCATCTTGTTAAGTATCTGCAAATTCCAGGACTATGGTCATTAAATATAAAATAAGCCAATGTGCTGGAAGGTGGTGTGCTCAACTCTCTGGAAATAAAAGATCCCATTTCTTTTAGGTAGACGTTTGGGTTTCTTCGAAGCCACATCAATACCTAAGTTATGAGGCTTCTGAGATTTTCTTTTAGGAATAGCCTTTACCTCATGTGTACATTAAGAGAAACCAAGAGTAATCAGGGAAATGGAACCATGGACACTAGCAGTACCCAACAAACTAGGGACTGGGGATAGGATTGAACCAGCACACCTCAAAGAGTGGGGATAGCAGATTGATTCCAAACAAATGGAGAACTGCAGCTGCCATCAGCTGTTTCCCACATGGAATCCAGGGACAAAACCAAGGCCTGAGGATTAGACAATACTGCCAACTAAATTGGACCCAGTCCAACCCCAGATCCAGTCTGGTGTTTAAGCTGAACCCGGTCAAACTGCGGCTGGTACCACCAGCAATTCACTGCACAACCTAAACCAGCTAGCTCTAAGAAATGGAGACTACAGACTAGAACCGGGGAAAGGACTAAACCAGGAAACCCCAGTAAATGCAGACAGCAGATTGGAACTGGGGAAGGGATTCCAATGTGTGGGCTAGGGACTTCAGGTTCTGGATAGAACCGTCTGCACTCCAACTTGACCCACTGAGCCCACAACTAAAAGGCCAATTAGATCTGGAGCTCAGATGAAAAAGTGGAGCTCAAACTGAAAAGAACTTACCAATGGCCCTCAGAAATGGCATTTGGTAAGCGGTTCTTCTCAAATACTTGTCACGTTCCTAAAAGGAATTGAAGGTATCTAAGGCTATTGAGTAAGAAATATATAGATACACCACTGTTCCTCAAGAAGTTGGACACAATCATTGACTCTACAGGCAGGAAAGACATTTTCGGTGGGAACCAGAAACAGAGTTCCAGCTTTGTCCTCCCGCTTCAGAGCACTCTAACATCCCTTTTCTATCTTCTCTGTCCCGTCCCTCTGTGGAGGCTTTTTCTCTTGTTCCTGACTCAACATCCTGAAACTCATCAAGCTGACTCTAACGTCTCAGGCAACAGGCACTTGAAGGAAAAGAAGATAATACTCACCAGGTTCCAGCTAAGAGTAGACACATTGTGTGTCTGAAGGACTCTATGGAATGATACATCCCTTTGGATTTGTACTCATTGGGAGCACCTGAGACAACACTTTTAGACTCTGGGAGCATGCTAGGCTTCAAGGAGTCTGAAATAATATCCGTAAACACTTAGGTGATCAGTTGCCGACAACACTCCCCAGGAATCTGCATACAGCCTCTTAAACAAAGAGCAAAGGTCTTCTCTCGCCTTAGGAGGCTGGAGACACCACTTCCCAGAATCTCTCCTGGTGCCATTGCCCCTGGACACCCCAGTGGCGAGCACACAGTCCTTGGGCTTTTGAAGATGTGAGAACTACATTACCCAGGGTACTAAGCGCCAGTCGCCGTTGGCGTCTGAACCAATGAAAGCTCAGGAGAGGGGTATTTCCGTGCGTGCGCATCGAGTCGGGGCGGGACTTCTGGCATCCTCCCCGTGGCGGTCATTTTGGCTGCTCTCTCGTATTTACCTCAGCGTCTGGAGCACCGGGTCGGGCTGAGGTTCCGGGACCGAGGAGGCGCCGAGAGGAGCCCCCGTCCCCGTGGCCCAAGGGCGGTTCTGAGCCTCGGCGACGCCGCCCGGGGCCCCGCGCCAGGGAGCGCCGCGGCCGGCGCTTCCTCTCCCGCCGCTCCCGACCCCGCTCCGCCTCCGAGGCCGATGGCGGCGGCCGCACGGAGGGAGCCGGCTCAGGTGAGCGCTCGGCTCCGGCCCGCCCCGCCCGCAGCGCAGCCCGAGCTCCAGCCCTCGGGCGGGCGCTGCTCCCGGGCCTGCAGCCCAGGCCCCGGGGCCGGGCCGGGGAGGCGCTCGTGGGGCCTGTGGCTGCGGGCGGGGGCCGGGCTGCGGGCGAGGGTCGCGGTCCGAGGGGACCCGGGGTCTGTCGTGTGTGTTCAGGAGGGAAGACCTTTGCTCTGACTGTGAGGCGAAGTCGCTGTTGGAGTAGCAGGCTGCCGTTCTCAGGAGGCTGGGAGCCGTGGAGAGTGGTGGACTGGAAAGGCTTCGCCTGAGCTAGGCTCTTAGGCGTGTTCCAGAAGCTGCTCGGAGCACAGACTGGACAGGGACTGAGCGTGGGAGGCACAGGGGGATTTAGTCCTCGTCCAGAGTCTCACAGCTGATGAGAGTCAGCACTGAGGCCTGAGACGCAGAGAGAATGCCGTCATCCCAGGTGTCCTGGCTCCAGAGCCGGGCAAGGTGACTGGGCAGCCGGGAGCCCGTGGAGCCCTGCCATGGTCACCTGCCTCTCAGCACTTCTTCACCCAGCCTGTCACAAGTACAGAAGCACTTCTGGACCCTACAGAGGGAGTGAGTGGAGGGTGTTGCAGAACCTCACTGATGCTGATCCTACTGATGATCTCTGGGATTGTGGTGTCCTGGGTGGAGGTCTTGATCCTGGGGAGCCTGGACAAATCCTAAGCCCAGGGTCCTCAGAGCAGGCGTCGGGTTATATGGAGTGGCTACTATTGCTGGCAACCGATGGAATGAGGTGTGGAGGAAGGTTGCCCCAGGTGTAGGTGCCAGTCTGTGCAGACTCTTGGAGGTGAGGCTGAACTGGTTTAAGAGAACCGGAAGTCTTCTTTCTTTTCCCTGGGGACAGAGAGCAAGGGGTCAGGAGTGAAGCCTGGAATGGCTCCCTGAGAAGTTGGGTGTCTCTTCTGGAGGATGGGAACGATGAGAGGTTTTGAGCAGAGGAGGGAGGTGATCTGACCCAGCTCTCCTCAGGCTCCCTGTGACTGCGGCACGGAGAACAGACTGGGGGTGTGAGGAAAGTGGTGGGAGGACCAGGGAGAAGCAACTACAGTAGTCCAGGTGAGTGTCAATGACGCGGACCAGCGTGTTGGCCATGGAGGTGGTAGAAACGGTTGGATTCTGGATCAGTGTTTTTCGGTAGGTCTGCTCTGATTTTCTGTTTTTGAAGGTGAGAGAGAAAAAGGTAGAAGTCAGGAATGACTGCAAGGTGTTTGGTTTTAGCAGCTGGAGGCAAGAAAGTTTCATCAGCTGAGGTGTCGAAGTCAGTAGTAGGATTAATTTTCATTCAGGGTATGAAGAGTTTTGTTTTGGCCACCTTAAGTGTATGAGATACTTCAGAGAACGCATGGGTAGAGGTATTAAGTGGGCTGCTGGACGCACAGGTCTGGGACTGTGGGGAGGTCTTCAGGATGGAGACATTTTCAAAAGGTGGTGCATAGTATATGGACCAGGGTGGAGCTGTGTGTTTTTGCTTGGGCAGCTAAAACAAAATACCTACATTTCTCACAGTTCTGGCAGCTGGGAAGTCTAAAATTGAAGTGCTGGCAGATTCTATTCCTAGTGAGGAGCTTTATTCTTGTCTTGTAGATGGCTGCCTTCTCCCTGTATCCTCACATAGCTTTTCCTTGGTGCAAGCAAGTATAGAGAGCAAGAGAATTCTCTGTCTTCCTCTTAAAAGCGTCCCGCTCTCATGACCTAATCTAAACATGATGCCTCCAATATTACCTCCAAATATTATCACATTGGGGATTAGGGCTTCAGTATATGAATTTTGGGAGGAAGCATACATTCAGTCTGTAACACTGCAGGGCACGTTTAGTATATACATATTTATTGAGGTATAATTGATATATAATATTGTTTTTGTTTCTGGTGTACAACATAATGACTTGATATTTTTATACGTTACAAAATGATCATCACACTAAATCTGGTTACCATCTGTCACCATACAGCATTATGTTACAATATCGTTGCTGTATTTGCTATGCTGTATATTACTTCCCCATGACTTACTTATTTTATAAGGGGAGACTTTTAGAACAGGATTCTGAGCTGCTGATGGCAGTGGGGACGGTTGGAGGTCGGGGGTGATACTGCCTCCTGCTTGAATTTGCCAAGCACTCTCTATATGCCATGTGTTGAATAACATGTAGGAAGGACAAGGAGATGCCTATAGTGCAGGACAGGGGAAAAGTGATTGTGAGAGTGAGACGTAGTAGAAAGAATGATGTCCACCTGTAGAGGGAGTGTGAACTGATGATTCAAGGACCCAGCATTGATACATAAGGTGAAATGCAAACCCATAGCCTTGGTTGTGTCTGTAAGGCATGGTCCAGGGGATCCTAGGAGAATTGCCTGACAAGAGGGAGTGCTTCCCTGCATGCCAGGCACAGAGCTTAGGTGGTGTCTCTCTGCCCACCTGCCTGTTGTTGCTGTGGTTGGACACAGATTAAAGGGACCAGGAGGAGAGAGTGTGCATCAGCGGCAGCTGGGCCTGGTTATCTTCTCTGAGATGAAGAATTGGGGAGGAGGGTGAGCAGGGGATGATTGGGTGGATGAACTTCTAGGAGAGAAGCAATTCATGGAATGAATGGTCTCCATCATGGCAGGGCTGTGTGACCTTCGAAGATGTGGCCATTTACTTCTCCCAGGAGGAGTGGGGGCTCCTTGATGAGGCACAGAGGATCTTGTACCACGATGTGATGCTGGAGAACTTTGTACTTACAACATCCTTCGGTAAGGCCTTCATATTCCTCTTGGTGTCCTTAGTTAGTCTGTCTTTCGCCCTGTTCTGGAGGCAGCTCTGTCCTTTCCACAGCCAGGCCGTGGGCCCTACTAGTTTTAGTTTCCCCAGTTTCTTGGCATGTGTACTGTGGGTGCCAGCACTAAGCTGTGTGCACTCCCCCAAGCAATGCACTATGCACAGTGCAGTCCTAACACTTGCTACCTCAAGGTGTGCAGGGATGGGTCTGGGAGTCAGGAGTCTTGAGTCAGCCTAATCAATCTCACCTTTCTCGCCCTTTCCATGGCTAGATGACTGTCCAGATCTGCGGCACCTCGTGGGCCAGGTTCTAATACCTTTCACTTTCTTTTTTTTTAAATTGAGATACAATTGTCATATATAACATTAGTTTTAGGCGTACAGTATAATGATTTAGTATGTGTATGTGTTGCAAAATGCTCAGAACTATAAGTCCAGTTGACATTCATCATCGTAGAGTTGATTTTTTTTTCTTGTGATGAGAACCCTCAAGATTTCCTTGTGATTGTCTGTATCAGGAATTGCAGGCATTATTGTGGTCACTACTTGTGTGGTCTATAGGGTTTTCTTGAAAGACCCTCCTTCGAGATTTTATTATACGATTCTGTCCTTTCCTGTGGTCTGTTTTTTCCTGAGTTGCTCTGGGTCACTGCTGACTGCTCACTTGTCCTGTCTTTCCCTAAAGACTCGCTTCATTCACATCCCATGTAGTTATGCAGCTGTGGGTGCATGGAGAGCCCTGATTGTTTCACAGAGTGGACATGGCAAGATGGACTCAGAGGAAGCCTTGCCCTGCTGAGAAGCAACTCAGAGGATGTGGCATCAGGGCTGTGTTGAGATCATACCAGGAACCTACCCTGTGTCCACCAGTGTTGTAGTATAAATGCCACTGGATACAAATACTTTCTAAACTTTCTTCTGCATACTTGACACTTTTTTGATTTATTTCATCTGTGACTCCAGTCCCTACTGTCCCCACATTCTGACTTCCATGCATCATTTGTTCTCTCCACTGTATGGCACAGTTCTTCTACAGTAACCCACACATAATGTGCTGTGAGGTGTGCACATATCTTTAAATAGTTGTTGAACTTCAATAGTTCCAATTGTATTTCCCTGGGCCTAAACCCAGATATCTTTCTACACTGCATGAATGTGTCCCCATGATGAGGTCTTGCTGAAGGCTGTTGGGAGAGGAGTGAGTCAGTGATCCTGCCTCCTCTCCCTGGGTGGCACCCCATACTTGTGCCATAAGGTCTTTGTCCCATAAGGTCTCCCCCATTCTGTGTTCTTTAGAGGCTCAGTACTACAAAGCAGCCTGTCCTTTCTTCAGATGGCTGCCTGTTCCCTCATCCTGAAAACATTGCCATGGATTCATTCTTTGGTTTGAATGTACAGATCTTCCTTGACTTATGATGGGTTTATGTCCTGATAAACCAATTGTAACTTGAAAATATTGTATGTCAAAAATGCATTTAATACACCTAACCTACTGAACATAATGGCTTAGTCTAGCCTACCTTAAACATGCTCATAAGAGTTATATTCCCTACATTAGGACAAAATTACCTAGCACAAAGCCTATTTTTATAATAAAGTGTTGAATGTCTTATGTAATTTATTGAATATTGAAGGTGAAAAACAGAATGGTTGTAAGTATATTGGTTGTTTACCCTTGTGATCCTGGCTACCTGGGAGCTGTGGCTTGCTGCTGCTGCCCAGCATCACAAGACAGTATCATATCCCATATGGCTAGCTGATCGTGTGTGTGTGTGTGAGAGACACATTTTTGATGGGACTTTCCTCTCCCACCTAAGTTAACATGCACTTTATCAGTATTTCTCTGCTTTCAGATTGTTGGTGTGGAGTAGAGGATGAGGAGGTAGTTTCTAATCAGAGAATTTCTGTAGAAGGAGTGTCACAGGTCAGGACTTCTAAGGCAGGTCCATCAACCCAGAACACTCAACTCTGTGAGAAGTGTATTCCAGTGTTGGAAGACGTTTTGCACCTGCCTGAGCTCCAAGCAACATATCCTGGGCAGAAACCATACTTGGATGGGGCATCCAGAGGTTTCTGGTTCAGTACAAACCTTCAGCAGTACCAAAAGCATAATAGTAGAGGGAAGATCTTCAAAATGGACATGGACCAGCCCTCATTTGTGACAAGCAGCAGATTCCACGTATTAGGGAAGCCCTTCACCTATGGGGAGAGTGGAAAGGACTTCCTAGCTACCTCAGGCCTTCTCCAGCAACAGGCCATTCCCGGTTGTGGGGAACCCTTTAACAGTGGAAACAGTCATGACAAGTGGCTTGAATGCAGGAAAGTTTTCAGCAACACAGACACGCTTCTCCGCCAGAGAGTCAGCACTGGAAAAGGTCTTGGTGAGTGTAACAAATTTGGGAAATCCTTCAACTGCAAATACAAACTTGGTCAGCACCAGCAAATTCACACTGGAGAAAGGTCTTATGCGTGTGGTGAATGTGGGAAATATTTTACCACTAGTTCTACCCTCCATCATCATCAGAGAGTTCACACTGGAGAAAGACCTTATGAGTGCACTGAATGTAGAAAATCATTTACCTATAAATCCCACCTGATTCGACACCAGAGAGTTCACACTGGAGTAAGGCCCTATGAATGTAATGAATGTGGGAAATCCTTTAGCCAGAAATCTATCCTCATTCAACACCAGAGAGTTCACACTGGAGAAAGGCCCTATGAATGCAGCGGATGTGGGAAATTCTTTAGCCAAAAATCTGCTCTTGTCCATCATGAAAGGGTTCACACTGGAGAAAGGCCTTATGAGTGCAGTGAATGTGGGAAAACTTTTACCTTTAGCTCCAGGCTCCGTTATCATCAGAGAGTTCACACTGGAGAAAGGCCTTATGAGTGCAGTGAATGTGGGAAAGCTTTTACCTTTAGCTTCAGGCTCCGTGATCATCAGAGAGTTCACACTGGAGGAGGGCCTTATGAGTGCGTTGAATGTGGCAAATCTTTTAGTGCGAAAACTGTCCTCATTCAACACCAAAGAGTTCACACTGGAGAAAGGCCTTATGAGTGCAGTGAATGTGGGAAATCCTTTAGCCAAAGCTCGGGCCTCCTTCTACACAAGAGAGCTCACACTAGAGCAAGACTTTATGAGTGCACTGACTGTGGGAAAGCTTTTGGATGTAAATCCAAACTTGTTCAGCACCAGAGAATTCACACTGGAGTAAGGCCTTATGAGTGCATTGAATGTGGGAAGTCTTTTAGTGTGAAATTTGTCCTCATTCAACACCAAAGAATTCACAGTGGAGAAAGGCCTTATGAGTGTAGTCAGTGTGGGAAATCCTTTAGTCAGAAATCTGTCCTCATTCAACACCAAAGAATTCACACTGGAGAGAGGCCTTATGATTGCAGTGAATGTTGGAAATCCTTTAGCCGCAAAGCCCAGCTTATTCAACACCGAACAGTTCATAGTGGAGCAAGGCCTCATGAGTGCAGTGAATGTGGGAAATCCTTCAGCCAGAGATCTGGCCTCCTTCGACATAGGAGAGCTCATGTGCGGTAGATGTGGGAAATCTTTTAGCTGCAAATCTGACCTCAATCAACACCTAAGAGTTCACACTGGCAAAAGACTTTAGATATGGTGAGAATGTGCTCTTTCCTGGGAACAACTGTTTTAGGAAAGGCTCTGAGGAGCCATCTGCCTGAAATGAATTTCATAGCCAGATATCCACAAACTGGAGATTCCATGTAAGTTTTAGTTACATGGGAAGCATGTGTAACCTGCCTGGGGTTCTTGTCAGACTTATGTCATTGCCAGTTTCACCTTTGGCAGAAGGTGTTTCACTTCTATCACCTGGCACGTCCATGCAGTGTGCATTAGTAACCACCTTAGTATTCTCAGTGAAGCTGACCTCTGAGATCTCCCGTTTTGTTAGAGGAAATCGTGAGTATCCTGAGCTCTTATGGGGTCTTTATTCCATTCTCTCTGACAAGATAGGGCATAGACCTGACCCAGTGTTGGCTCAGATAATGCTATCTGAGTTCTGCTGGTGACTTTCAGAGAAGGACTAGCTTTTTCACAGACGCTAAAGTTTGTGGGTTAAGAGCTCAGCCTGAGGAAGGGGTAGTTGTGACACCTCCAGTGCTTCTGGAGACATCATGAATTTTTTGTTGCCCACAGGGGAAATCACTTAAAGCCCAAACCTGCTGAGGAGAATCTTATCCCCAGGTCCTACAAAGGAGCCATATGCCCTCATATCTAGAATTCAGAAAGCTACTAGTTGTAAGACTACAGGGGCAGGGGAGACTAATTGGTACAGAAGCACTGGATTACTAGAGAGTGGAGGAGACTGCAGCAAACTACATGGAATGTGCCTCTTCTAAAGATGGGTCCACAATTGTTCTAGTGACAGTGACCATGGGTTGAGTGTGTACAGAAATCTCAGAACCTCCGGATGTGTTTATCTTGTGTATCTGAAGTCACTGGCAGAGAAAATAATCTAATAGTTTTGTGGATTCCTGTAGCCTCTCTGAGCTGTTCACCTCAAGGCTATTGTTACACAGGCAACAAAAGGAGGATGGGGAGAAGGGAGATCCCATAGTCCAGGGATCCTCTTGACTCAAGTGGAAATGGCCTTCATTGTTTGCCAGTATTTCCTGCCGCTGAGGAAAGGCTGTTCCTCAAGGAATCAGGAGTGAGATAGTAGAGTCAATAGAGTAGCCAAACCCAACTTTCTGAAGAGTGGGAGATTTAGATTTTTATTATGAACCAATTTTTAAAGCTGTATTAAGGTATAAGAGACACAGAATAAATTGTACATATTTAAAGCATACACTTTGATAAATTTTGACATGTATATAAACTCATGAAATCATCATCATTGTGATAACATATCTGTCACCTGCATATTTTCCTCGTGGCCTTTTTTATTCTCCCTGCTCTCCCTGTCTCCAGGCAACCATTGATTTACATTCTTTATAATAGATTGCATTTTCTGGAATTTTATTATTTAGCCTTAGGTGTTTAGTTTTCTTGTTTCATTGATGCTGCATAATTACTCTGAGATTCATTAATGGTGTTTATATGCACATTTCATTCTTGTTTCCAAGTAGCTTTCTCTCTCATGTATAATTGACCGTGTTTATCCATTCACTTGTTTATGGGTACTTGGATTATTTCCAGTTTTTAGCTATTGTTAATAAAAGCTGATATGAACATTTGTTTACTCTTTTTTATATGTGTACATGTTTCATTTTCTTGTATTCTTGACTCAGAGTGAAATGCCTGAATCATGGTATCACTGAATATTTAACTTTGTAATCTATGATGATTGTGTTTTTTTGCATTCCTACTGGCAATGTTTGAGCGTTCCAATTCCATCACACCCTGCCAATACCTGGTATGGTCACTTTTTAATTTTGCTCTTTTAAAATAAGTGTATAGTGATGTCACACTGCTTTTAATTGCATTTCCCTAAGAATTTCTTTCCCTAAGGATGTTGATCATTATTTTGTGTGTTTTTACCAGCATACCTTCTTTAGTAAAATGCCTTTGCTTATCTTTGGTCTATTTTCTATTTTATGAATTTTGGCTATGTGCCTTTTAGTAACAAATAAGACAGTGAGACAACAAACACATGTTGGAAATTCATTCTTCAGTGATGTGAGCAACAACTTTGCTGTATGGAATAATTGTTTTTGAATACTGGAAGAGTATATTGTCATTTTTTCTTTAATTTTTTTCTTTTTTTTTTTTTGTAGTATGCACAATGTGATGGCCACCAATACCAAACACTTAAGTTTCATCAGCATTATCAACATACTGTCCATCACTTTTCTAAGTGTAGACGTTCAGTATATTATATTCAACAATCCAATAAATCAAGGCCTAGTTCGTAGTGTTTGCCAATTTCCCTGGTGTAAATACTCCTCCCATGGCCAATTTGAAACTGCCAACATAATATCACTGAACATAGAATTGGAAGAAATTGCCAGTGGTACTCTATTTCCACCATACTGATCCAGTAGCCGCAAACAATCTCAAGAATGTAGATAGTAACAAAACAGTAAAATGATTACAGAGTGATGATGTTTGAGTATTTGTAACTAAACAGTTTAATTGATGTATAATTGACTTAAGTGCACATATTTGAAGTGTATATTTTGATATTTTGACATAGGAAAACAAGTTTCCTTTTGCCCTTTTTTTTCTTGGTGAGGAAGATTCGCCCTGAGCTAACATCGGTGGCAGTCTTCCTCTTTTGTATGTGGGTTACTGCCTCAGCGTGGCTGGCAAGTGATAGGTCCACACACCAGGATCCAGGCTTGTGAACCCCGGCCGCCAAACAGCGTGTGCTGAAGTTAACCACTATGCCATGGGGCCAGCCCCACTTTGTGCCCTTTTTAAATTCATCCTCAACTTATAAAATTACTGTTACAATGACATATTCTACCTTTTTTATGACTTTTTTCAAATATATACAAAAGTGGAAAAGACTGATGAATCCTCAATTTTTTATCTTTATGATCATTCTTGTTTGAATTCTCCTCATGCACATTAGTGGGTAATTTTACTTATAAGCTCAGACATCATGTCATTTAACACATAACTTCTTGAGAATGCTTTTCTTAAATGTATGAGCCTTTTCATAATGCCAATAACTTTGTCACACACAAAAATTTTTAAATATAAGTATTGTCACTGCTGAATTTTACCAATTTTCTCAAAGACATGTTTGTTTTTTAAGGCACACTAATCAGGATATACAATGTGTATCTTGGGAGTCTTAACCTATAGGCACTACTCATCTCTTTTTTGTTCTTATGTCCTTGTTGAAGTGATGAGCCATGTGTCCATTATAATTTGCACCATTTGGATTTGGCTCATTGCATCTCTCATACTATTAACATGCTGACCCTTCCCCCAAATTTCTCGGGCCCTAGATGTTGCGAAGATGAACGAGTGAGGTCTGGTCCTGGCAGAAAGGTGTGTGAGAGGCACAACCTGGAAACACATTCAGGTGTTGGGTGGGATGGCTGTGTGGTGATGACACTGTGACAGGTGTGTGATACTAACACTCCTTAGCACATCTTGGGGGTACCTGACAGACACTGGGAACATGGGTGACAGATGTGGGATGTTGTTACCCTCAACCCAGCGTGGGCATGCGTATGTGTACACCAGGTTCACAACACAGAAGGTATGTGACAAACTTGAGGCACACAACTAGTACAAGTAAAACCAAGGAAGTGAGGTAGCATTAATTTGATTTTATTGTGTTTTCTTGGTAACCTATCATTTATGGCAAGGAAGACTGTTTTTCTGATTGACCAGAGAGATGTAAAGAATACAATAATTTAAGAAAAATAAATCATGTGTCAGTTTAAAGAGAAAAAATTAGTAAAAAGCAGAGCCAACATCCCCTGAACACTGACCATGTGTCAGGCCTGTTCACTTCTCACAATATCTGCATCCTCAGCCAAATAAGAAAAATGTGCCCAGTGCAGGGAGTTTCTCAGAAAGCTGAACCTGCTCAACATAGACAACATTCCTTCATGGTGAAATCCTGTCCTCTGGCTCCTTTGATGGTAAACGTTCTTTGGAAATGTTGGTGAGAGTGGATGATACATGGTGTCTGGGTAAATGTCCTTATTTTATTCAATATAGTTGGTTTGCCTTTTCTAGAATTGTATACAAATCAAGTCCTTATTTCTTGTGTGGTTTCTATTCAGCATAATTATTTTGATAGTCATTTGTGATGTGTCATGAATAGATCAGGTTTTATTTTTTGAGTAGTATATTCTATAAATAGATATTTGTTTACTACACAAATATAACATAATTTGTTTACCCATTCATCTGTTGATTAACATTTGGATTGTTTGCACTTCTTGGCTCTTACAGTTAAAGCTGCCACAGACATTTATATGAAGTCTTCTTATGGAAATGTGTTTCATTTCTTTTGAGTTTCATACCTAGAAGTGTAGTACCTGAGTCAGAGGATAGGAGAATATTTCTGTTGTTAAGAAATTGCTAAACTGTGTTCTAAAGTGGTTATACAATTTTAGGTTCCCACCGGTAGTGTATGAGAATTTCAGTTTCTTTACCTCCTAATCAACATTTGGTATAATCAGTCTTTTAAATTTTAGCCATTCTAATGTGTTTCTTGAATTTCCTTGCAAGAAGAAAAAGAAAGAAGGAAAGCACAGTGCCTGGTAGGCTTCTTTGATGTCAAGAAGCAACTTCTGCTCAATATAGTCATCCACCAGAGGACATGAAATATGGCCAGCATTGGTCAGTCCTAGAGTAGGAATGATACTGGCTCGACACAAGGTTGACATAAAGGAAGTCATGTTGTAGACAATAAACCATATTATAACTTTGAATGACTTCTGATTAACTAGCCCAGACATGCTCTATAGATTTTGTGGCCCCTCCCAGCTGCTTTATGATGATAACTTTGTTCTTTTGAGTTCCTTAGGAATGTGATGGCCCCCAGTCGGAGAGTCTGTGCTGATAGCCATCATCAATGACAATTGAAAGATCAGAGTATAGGTTGTTGTTTTGGTCTCTGATGCATATCCAGTAAAACAAAGGACTATCAGGAACTGGGACCAGATGTCTGCCCCACTCAGAAACCAGCCACCTCCCCCACCTGGAGACCAGTGCCATATATAACTGGCCTTTGTTCTGTAAGATGGTTCTTTTGGACATTAGTTGGCCAACTTCCTTCTTGCTAGCAAGCTGTAATAAAGAGACCCTTTCTCTCCTACCACCTTGCCTTCTGACTATTGGCATGTCTTGTGGTGAGCAGAGGACCCCCCCAACTTGGGTGGTAACAGGAAAGGGCTCTGCTGTGGTGCAAGCAGTCCTGCCACTTAGGCCACTTGATTCAGGAGACGCTTTGATGTTGAAGGTGTCATTATTTCTCCTCTCTGTGTTTTCTTGGTAACCTGTCTGGATTATTGTCCCTCTCATGGCTAACCAAACAAACTGAACCTGACAACATCCACTGCAAGAGCTTCATTCCACAGGAAGTGAAGAGCAAGGAGACTGTTTTACTCATAGCTTCTGAGTGGGCATTTAGCATCTCTGTAGCAATTGTTTGCATGCTGGTTTTTGCTTATTTGAGAGCGTGGTTTGTAAGTAGAATCTGTGGGAGCATTTTACTAAAATGAGCTGTTGTCCTTCTGCTAGACCTCATACCCAGCCTTAATTTTCACCATGTTTGGGGAGAGATGTACATTCAGCTCACTGTGAAGGCTGACAAATTTGGATGATAAACTTTATCTGAGAGGAATGAAACTGTTGTACAAATCATTTTTTATTTTCTATACATTATGATGTTTTAACTTCTTAAAAAATGTTTCTGGCTGGGGAGAGATTGCCCCTCCTGTGGCTAGTCAGTTCTTAGAGATAGCAAAGGGCCCAGACAGGAGCATGCCTTTGATATGCAACCTAGCCAATTCAGAGCCCAGCCTCCTCTTTTTGGTCCAGACACACCAGGACCTGATACTAGGCCACTAAGGACCACCCCTATAGCCGAAAGCCTGCCAAAATTATTCAAACTAGCCAATCCCAAACTGCTCACCCTTCCCTGGCTTGCCTTTCCCTTGGAAACCCCAATAAAACTTCTGGCCTAGGCTCCTACTTCTGCTTCCTGACCAAAACCTGATGTCCCTGCTATGGCCCTGCATAGTCAGTCATGCCTCTTGTGTCAGGGGAACTGTGAGTAACATTAAACTTTTCTTTCAATGGCATTGAACTTTTCATGTCATCAGTCAGTCGCTTTTATACACAGCTCCATTGGTGCAGCAAGGACATTGCCTATACTCTGCTCTTGGCAGCTGCCTGGATGCACCAAACAACAGTGGCTGCTTGGGAGCGCACAGCTGACTGTCATATGCTTGGGCTCTGGCTTCCGCTACTTCGTCTGTGTCAGCAGGTACTGCCATGATATTCCAACCAAAATTGTAAGAGGATTTAGAAGGCACACGCCTCTATGGTCCCTCTCATGTATCTTAGGTGCTGAGTCTAGGTTGATGATGGCCATAGTTCCCTGGTTGCCACCTTAGCTTGGACAGCTTGGTCCACTGGGCCAAACATGGTTTGACCCTGGGTTCCTAGCAGTGACCTGGGGGTGATTCAGATCACTGGCTAACTTACAAGGCAAAGGGAGTGAGGAGAAGCTTCCTCCCATGGGGCTTTGTTGGGGGCAAGTCAGGTCAAGTGACCCATGAGTGTTGAGGTCAGCAGAGAGTACCTGCGCTCTTTGCCGAAGTCTTCCTCTCGCTGTAAGTGATTGAGCACATGAGCCTGCCCTTCTAGCGGGTACCCCTAGTGGAGAGTCGGGGTGTTGGTTCCCACGAGCTGTAGATCTGCTGTCAACAGGGCCTTAATTCCTGTCAGCCAACTGGAGATCTGCTGGCAACATTTCCTGGTTCACTTTCAAGTCCTGCTACCTATTAACATGCTAGGAGTCTCCTCATTAAAGTCAAATGGTCTCCTTATGTACTGAGCAAATCCAGGTCTAACAAATATAATGCTAGCCCTAGATCA